CAATCTACCAGAGAGTGTTGTGACGGCACCGAGTGTGAGCTCTTTCAAGAGAAGACTTGACCAACACTGGAGCGGGTTCAGGTACATTCAGGAGCCGGTGCATGCCCAGTACCTGCCAACAGTGCGTGACAGAGACGTGACCGATCGCCCGGGCGGCTAACGAGCCGACCTTTTGGTGAAGAATATAAAGGAAAAGAGACGTGACCGATCGCCCAAGCGGCTAACAAGCCGATCAGTGGCGAAGAGGATAAAAGTAAAAGTAAAAAGCAGCAGTGTTGACAACTACAACTACATATAATAAAAATACGTTAACGGTTATTATTGTCTTCAATTCCCGCTGTTTTAAGTATACCTAAGGTAATTTATATAATTATTTTTAGTCAGACAACAAAAAGGAGGACAAATTAACGTCCGGCTCGAGGTAGCGCCGGACAGTGCTCAAAAGGCTGTATGTAATGGTGTTTGTGATTGGTGGATCTGTTTTCGGCTGTATCACTGTCAGGATAATTATTAAACAAACCAAAGGTAGAATTTTTATAATAATAAACTATTCATTGTTATTTACGGACATGAGAAGTTTCCAAATTTTTGTATATTTGCTTAAATAATGAAGAAATTATATCAATGAATTGGCAACTTTACAACCACAGCTGCCACAAGATTCTCACATCAAATTTTCTTCATTATGTAGGCAAATATATAACAAACACCAAAAACACGTAACTGAACATCATTAACACGTAATAAACATCAATAATATGTAAAAAAAAAACCACATCAGTAACATGTAACTTTACATCAGTAACATGAATTAAAATCAATAACACATAATAAACATCAATAACATGTAACTAAACATTATTAACATATAATAAACATAAAAAACACGTAACTGAACATCATAAACACGTAATAAACATCAATAACATGTAAAAGAATCAATAACATGTAACTAAACATCAATAACAAGAATGAAAATCAAAACACATAATAAACATCAATAACGTGTAACTAAACATCATTAACACATAACTAAAGATCAGTCATATAATAAACATCAATAACACATAACTAAAGATCACTGTCATATAATAAACATCAATAACACGTAACTAAACATCAGTGACACGTAATAAACAACAATAACACGTAATAAACATCAATAACACATAACTAAACATCATTAACACATAACTAAACGGTAAATTTGCATTGTCACACCGTTCACTTTTAGCAAGTAAAAAATATATTTTTCTATTGTATTTGTGTGTGTTGAGACCGAATATGACCTTCATTTATGGCGGAAATTAGCCGGGGGGTTTTTTGCGATTTTTTTTTTCGTTTGACGTTTTCCGAAAAAAAGTGGCTAAGCGGCTAAAAAAATACACAAAAAAACACTAGAAAAACCAAAACCTAACCTAACCTAACTTAACTGACTCTCACCATATGATGGAATCACCTATTTCTTACCTTATTGGCCTGGTTCTTGTTCATCGTTGCATTCTGGGATTCTTACCCAACGCCACATATGTTGGTCTTTGCGATATTTACATTCCGTCTTGCTCTTAGTACACTTTACTGAGGTTGGTAGAACACCATGCGATCGAGAAAATGCTATAGTTTCTACTTTTTTTTTTCCAAAAACTCGCAATCAGCTCCATGTACTTTAAGTGACATCCATCGCAGACTTCCATGGTCGGAACTGAACTTGAATTTCAAAATATGAGAGACCCAAAATAAAACTCGATTTTGATTGGGCCAAATATACTCTGAATTAGCAAAAGAGCTTTTGATTGGCCGAGTGACGTGTACTGGTATGCATGCGCGTCATGATTTATGAAGGAGACGCGAGAGACACGAGACACGCAGTGTTGGGCGAGAGGCAGACGATAATGGCGGGAAATAATGGAAGAAAATAGAAATTTATTTGGAAAAGCTATCTCAGTTATTATACATTTCCGCCGACAATGTAATAGATGAAAATTATCTTACAATTAGACGTCTTATTCGAATATGATAATAGATTAGTGGTAGGAATGAACGGTGCGTAAACGCAATAATACCAACTAAACTTTAGTAACACGTAATAAAAATCCATATGTAATAAATATAAATATCACGTACCTAAACATAATGCTGATAATTATAATCATTAAAAAAATTTTATATTTTCCTTAACTATTTTATTTAATTCTTGTATTCCTAACAGAGAACACGTGGTTCCCACGCAGTAAAAGAAGAGCCCTCGAACCAACACCAACTCCACTCTATTGAAAGAATCCAACTTCACCCCAGTGACAACCTTGGTAGCCCTACCACTTACAACATTCGATCATAAAAAGACGGGATGTTCTTAGCAGAAACACAAGTACCTGCCCTAGATCTCCCCACCATTGGCTAAGACACAAGACACAAAAATGTAAGGCATAAAATTGCAACATCTGTTAAACATACAAACACAGTGCCGTTAATTTAAAGCCGTCAATGGACGGCGGCAACTTTTTGTTAACGCTGACGCCATCAATTTTTTGGGCAGGTGACGCTACAGGTGACGCGGTCAACTTTTCACCCGAGTGGAGCGTCAAGCGTCAATTTGTTCGTCAGAAAAAAGGCCACCAACCAGCAGCTGTCCAGGTTGGTGGAGAGGTCCGTGCACGAGACTGAGAGTAGTAGTAGCAGTGAGGGAGACGACAAAGACCATGACGTGGAGGACGAATTGTTCCAGGCCCTGTACGAGACCCCCGCAGGAATGAAAAATAACAGTGACCTTTTCAAGCGTTTCTTGGGGAAGAAACCTTCGAAAAAAACCTTCGACATGAACACCTTCCCCAACAAGGCCACGAGGGAGTTGTTCATCAAATATATCACCCCCATCCCTCTAGTGCTGCCGTGGAGCGCATGTTCTCCATGGGCAAGGACGTCTTGAGGCCCAAGCGCAGCAGAATGAGCGACAAGCATTTTGAGATGCTAGGATTCTTGTGGGGGAACAAATGAATAATTAAAATGATATAATATAAATCATAATAAATGATTAAAAATTAATGAATATTTTTTTAATTTTGCATATGCTACTCCCATACACAGGAGTATACGCGTTTCGGGGCTGCAAAGGTACGTCACTGAAAACTCGTTGACGCTGGGTGTTGACGCTGACGCTAACGGCGTCAATTTATGAAATCGTTTACGCCGACGCTGCCGGCATCAAAATTTTAGGCCGTTTACGTTGACGCTGGCGGCGCCACTTTTTTTCGTTGACGCATGCAACACTTGAAACACCTAACATAAATATAACACCTACGACGAAAATTAGCTGAAACACCGACATGAGAAAACAGAAGCACTTGGGTTGAGCCCCAAGACCTATCATCCTACTACTATTTTCCAATATCCTCACTGTTCATCTTGCACTATCCACCAACCCCAAGTCCCTCCAAACTCCACCATCATTCTTCAAGTCCAGTTCCCGTACCACCAATCTACGCACCAGCGGATTACGATCTCTTCACACTTTACTTCACCCATCGATTCGATTCGATTCGAAGTGTCAACCAACATCACTCTCTCAAGCAGACAAGACCTCCTCACAAGAAGCTCCTCCACAACACAGCAACTCTCCTGCATCTTACTGCACTCTACATACAATATATATAAAGAGAACTTTATTGTGAGTTTCCGTTCTCACCTCCATCCAGAGTGCGAGATCTCCACTATGTACATGTGTATGTGAGCCAAACAAAGAAAAATTTGACTACTGGTACTGGCCAGCTATCAAACAGGGAGGTACTACCGCCTGCGAAGATTTTGGAAGCAGGGTCTTAATTGTTTCTCTTACTTTGACAACACAAGACACATACTGTAAATCGTTTTTCACTGTTGATTTATTCATTTTTCATTTATTTTTTATTTATGGGTATTATTATTATTATTTTTGTATTATAATTCTATTTATTTTTATTAATTATTATTAATATTATTACTATTATTTTTATTTATTTTTTTATTATATTTTCTCCCCCAGGCCCTGATGTGGGTCAGTGACCTGTGCCCGGGTGGACTAATACCCGTAAAAGAAAGAAAAAAATATTATATATATATATATATATATATATATATATATATATATATATATATATATATATATATACATAGTTTCGTTGTGGTTATCAGCATATACTTGGATCACGCGCACCTACAGTGATTTATAAATAAAACCCAAGAGTTACGGGAAATATATATGTAGTGTAACAATAATAGGTAGCTGTGAACATCATAACGGGACAATGACCTCTATAGTTTATAACGGATTCAAACATAAATGGCCAAATATATTAAATTTGCTGTAACCTTAAATACTAAGAATAAATATAAACATTGGAGTTGTATGCGTCGGTCTAACTGGTAAATTTTATTCGTTTTATTTGAAAATTACAAAACATTTGCAGGTCGAGTTACCTGTACAAGTTTTTTTATCTAAAGTGGTGAACTTCAGTTAAATTTATCTACGGTTATTAAAACTAGCTTAGTAGATCTGCAAGGCAATGCATTTCAGCATCATTACAATGCTGCAATACGAAATTCTAGTCGATTATTTACATTTGTGTTCCCTAAACTTCCTGTTTGTGTATCCCTCCGCTCCTGGTGGCTCGACACACGCCAAAATAGCCATTATTGCCTACCGCCATACAGCCGTGACTTATACAACCACCACTCTAACTAGTTTCGTATTTAATAAAAAAACTTTATAGTTATACTTAATAATAAATATTTTTGGGGTTATAAATATTTTATAAGGTTGTGTAGTAGAAAATAAATAAGCATTATTATAATATTAATACGAAAGCTGTGTTAAGTGTTTGAGGCCAGAGGGTCAGTCGTCGACGATAATGGCGGAATATGAAAACACTCTACTGTGTTTACGTTGGTGGATCCTGTGATGATCACCGTTCTATTATGGTTCCCTGACTTTAATCAAGGTAGGATGCACCACGAGGATCAGCATAATGCTCACAATAACCAGTGTAATACGAGAAACTCTTAGAAAGGAGACTTGCAGGAAGAAATTATCTGGGTCGTCGTCCCAGCTTGGCTCAAACTGCAAAATTTTACCGCGTTGTTCTCAGATTGTCCCAACACACGGCAGTAATACCCACGGTAATGGCTGCTGGGGCTAACTACTGCCCTCACGCACCTCAAACACCTCCATAAAGCAGTTGTTAAGGCGAGGGAACAGAGAGAGTAGATAATTACTATGGTAGATTGTTTACCTCGGGGCCACAAATGTCAAAACTACGAGGCGGCGACACAGAGCCTTTTAACTACTGTGTGAGGCTCCCTTATGCTGTGTGAGGCTCCCTAATACTGTGTGAGGCTCCCTACTACTGAGGTGAGGCTCCCTTATGCTGTGTGAGGCTCCCTACTACTGAGGTGAGTCTCCCTACTACTGTGTGAGTCTCCCTTATGCTGTGTGAGTCTCCCTTATGCTATGTGAGGCTCCCTTATGCTGTGTGAGGCTCCCTACTACTGAGGTGAGTCTCCCTTATGCTGTGTGAGTCTCCCTACTACTGAGGTGAGTCTCCCTACTACTGTGTGAGTCTCCCTGTGAGTCTCCCAGTCTCCCTACTACTGAGGTGATCTCCCTACTACTGAGTCTCCTACCTGGTGACTACTGGAGGTGAGTCTCCCTACTACTGAGGTGAGTCTCCCTTATGCTGTGTGAGGCTCCCTACTACTGAGGTGAGTCTCCATACTACTGTGTGAGTCTCCTTATGCTGTGTGAGGCTCCCTACTACTGAGGTGAGTCTCCCTACTACTGTGTGAGTCTCCCTTACTGTGAGTCTCCCTACTACTGAGGTGAGTCTCCCTACTACTGAGGTGAGTCTCCTACTACTGAGGTGAGTCTCCTACTACTGACTACTGAGGTGAGTCTCCCTACTACTGAGGTGAGACTGAGGTGAGTCTCCCTACTACTGGTGAGTCTCCCTACTACTGAGGTGAGTCTCCCTAATACTGAGGTGAGTCTCCCTAATACTGAGGTGAGTCTCCCTACTACTGAGGTGAGTCTCCCTTATGCTGTGTGAGGCTCCCTACTACTGAGGTGAGTCTCCCTACTACTGAGGGAGTCTCCCTACTGCTGTGTGAGTCTCCCTACTGCTGTGTGAGTCTCCCTGCTACTGAGGGAGTCTCCCTACTGCTGTGTGAGTCTCCCAACTGCTGTGTGAGTCTCCCTACTACTGAGGGAGTCTACCTACTGCTGTGTGAGTCTCCCTACTGCTGTGTGAGTCTCCCTACTGCTGTGTGAGTCTCCCTGCTACTGAGGGAGTCTCCCTACTGCTGTCTGAGTCTACCCTAATATTAACTTGACCCAAAACTAAGTTAAGCTAACCTAACCTAATCTATTGTCAATCTATTAAAGCAATGCTAACCAGACGTTACATCAGAGTTGTAAAGTGACTAAATAAATTTACTTGAGTACTGTGCTCAAGTGAATTACTGTATTTGGCAACACTATTTACTTTTTAAAGTAATACATTTTTTTTAGTACTTTTACTTTTCCTTAAGTATGGTTTTCTAATACAGTATTTTTACTCCCCTGCAAATGAAAACAAATAAATCGTTACTCGTTACATGCAAGCTAATAATATATTTTGTAATTAATTAATATTAACCATAGTAAAAGAGTTGTGTGGGCAGAGGGTATGATGTGGTTGGAGCCGTGAAGGGTACAGTGTGTGTGAGGGGAGACACCACGCGGTCACATACCTAGAGTCTCGTGAGGTGAAGTGACACCAGGTCAAGTGGCTTTAGCCATGCGAGTGGACCTTCCCTTTGATCTTGTGTCCAATGGCACCTTCACGGTGCACCTCCAACTCGGCCCATCTTGCACTCTTCAAACAAGTAGCTGACTAGAGGTTCAGGAATGAGTTTGAGATATGTTTTATGTCTCTTTTGGTACACTGAAATACGAAGAGTGTGAATGAGTGAATACCGAGGGTTCAATCTGTAGAACTTTATCAGTGAAGCATGATTCACATTCATAACTTGTGCTTCTCCAGGTGATTTCAAATAAGGTTTGAAATTATTGCTTCCAGCAATTTGCCTACAATTGATGTTAGATTGATTGGACGGTAGTTAGAGAATAGTGATCTATCTTCCTTCTTGAAAACCAGTATCATTCACTATCCTTTAAGATGCTGGTACTACACCTGTTTTTAATGACATGTTAAACAAATTTGCTCTTCCTTTTATTCCTTTAATACTCTGTCAAATATCTCATCGGGACCTGGTGAATTATTAAGCTTTAGCTTGTCTATTTCTTTACTAACGTCGTTACTAATCACTACTATCTCGCTTAATATATTTTCTTCACTTTCTCTGTATATAGTCGGTGCTTCGAGTATCGTGTTTAAATTTTCGGTGGTGAAAACTTTAAAAATACTTATTCAGATTATTGCTCATTTCTCTGTCGTTATCACTTAGCTCGCCGGTTTCTGACTGTATTGATCTAATCTTTTCCCGTGTTTTAGTTTGATACATTTGAATGAATCCCTTGGGGTTTGACTTTGCCTCCCTTGCTACCTTCAGGTCATTATTCCTCTTTGCTTTTCTTATCTCGGTCTTAACCCTACTGGCCAATACCTTATAATAATCTCGGAGGTAAACTTCATGATTTATTCTCCTACCTGTAGCCTTCCTTTGACCAATAATATTCTTAAAATAATTATTTATCCATTTAGGGTCATTGTTATTTGATCTGAGTTGTCTGTATTTAAGTTGTTGTGGAACTCGTCAACCTCAGATCTCGTGATCAGGTCATCCTCAACCGTCATATTTTGTGAGGTTATCTTTTTCAGGTCTCCAGGTAAAGTGATGTTGATTGTGAACCAAACATAAAATATGAAATTATAAAATAAAAAATCACCTCTTCCACATAAGTATATTAATAAGATAGAATGAAAAGATAAATAACAACTGATCACCCCCCCGCCAATATAAACTTTGTTGCTTTTTATCATTGTACTTTTATCATTCATGGAAAATTTGTAAACTTTTACATTTAGTCTGAGTTCGTTAACCTAAGTGGTCCGAGTTGGATGTGGGCCGAGTTGGACTGTAACCCACCTTGACCACCCACCTCACCTAGCCTACCATATTATACCCCCAACCCCATCGAATTCCCTCTCTTCACCTTTCCTTCAGGGGCTTATTCTTCCCATTAGATGTCAGTTGGTCTTTGTATATACAGTACCTGTACCTAAAGTGAATTTCAAAGAGGCTATGATTCTAAAATGCTTTGCATAGCTCCTTCTTAGATATAAAGCCTGTACGGGGTTAGGGACCCAAATCCAGGTCGTAAGTCGAAATGGTCGTAAGTCGAAATGGTCGTAAGTTGAAAATGCTTAAATAATATGTAGAAAATCTAAAATTAGTACCTCTTTTTCTTCTCAGCACCACACAACTCTCTTTTTTAAGCTTGCCAGCCATTTTAAAGTGAATTACAAACGAAATTTTGTCTGTGTACTGACGTTGGGACTCGAAAATACATAATTTGACCAAATTTTGGCACGACTGAGGCAGGTCATAAGTGCGGGTGGTCATAAGTCGGGGAGGAGCTGTATTTAAAATTCTGCTCAAATAAGTACCACTGCACCCTCCAGCACCCACCAGATGTTACGTGGTGCAAAATGTTCAGCTATTCATCAATTAGAATCAGAAAGTGACCTCACTACAGCCACATCCCAATTAGAGGGGCAATTCACAGTGAGTCTTAGTCAGACTCACTCATTGTGGAGGCAAAAATCATCCACAAACTCCTCAACTGAAGGAGCTTGATAGCTACTTTGCATACCCAGGGGATGGAATGGAGCTACTGAGGTTTTTCCCGACATTATGTGACTTATCTCTCAAGCTTAACACCTCACTACCTGCATCTGCCGTTTGTGAATGTCTGTTTAGTCGTGCCGGGATTATTATTTATTATCTAATTAATTTATTACACCCCAGGGGCCGACAAGCCTAGTCACAAGGTCATGCAGACAAACACTAATGTATTGGTACTCGTGTCTCGCAGGACACGCTATGACTTGTGATAGGGAGACAATATTGATATGATTTAAGGACAATGGGAGTTAGCACCCACCAAAGTGTGGGTAGTGTACAAAGAATTAAATCTAAATTATTAAGAATAAGTAGGTGGAGACATAGTGGTTAGTGACTTCCTGTGGTAGGAGGTCCTTGACAGTGGGACAGTCAAGGCAATAGTGTTGAAGGGTGTTAGCATTGAGACAGTTACAGAGTTTACAGGAAGAGAAGTGCAGGTCATCCCCCACCTCAGATGGGTCTGTATCCTCACCTAATACGAGCCGAGGCAACATTGTCTGTCGACGATACTTGTGTGGATAAGGAAGAAAGTGATCATAGAGATGGATGGATATATTTTCAGCCCTTCACTATCCCTGAAGTGGATTGTAGGGAGAAGAGTGGCTGAATGTATTGCCTTTAGGTAGGTTATGCTGGCCTTACATTTAGGCCTAAACGATCCTCATTGGACAGCCATAATTTTGAGAATCGGTTATTGATTAATCTCAATAGAAAGTTTTACAAATAAACATGAGTAATGCTATGTCTCTTATTTTTATCTTTAGTTAACTGGTTTTCTATAATTTACTGTACACAGATTTATTTTAATATTTGAGGCATTTAATAATTTTTTGTTACTTTTTACTTAAATTGCTTGAGTACTAATGAATGAGATGCTTCTTTTTACTTTTACTTGAGTAATATTTTGCCAGTGTAACAATACTTTTACTTAAGTAAGAAAGTCCAGTAAGTTTTACAACTTCCTAACATTATTAATCTAACCTAACACTAACTTAACCTAACTTATTGCTACACTAATCTAACTTTGACTAATGCTAGTCGAATTAAATCTAAATTAATGTTAATCAGAACTAAACTTACTTGATGCTCATCTAACATAACTTTACGCCAAGCTCGATCAATGAGTCGGAGTACCGTCCTCATATGTGAGGGTTGATGACCACAGCCCTCTACTCTAAACATTCTCAGGCTATTTTTACCAATCTTTCAAAGTCTTGTATCTCTTTGGGGGCCCAGTTTTTTAATTTCATTCATCCACCCAGTCTCTGCCTTCCCATGGCCCCCCTCCTCTCAACTTTTGCCATTAGTATTTTTGTTATTATCATATACAGCAACTCCCTGACTTACGTCCACCCGCACTTACGACCTGCCTCGGTCATACCAAAATTTGGTCAAATTATGTATTTTTGAGTCCCAAAGTCAGTACACAGTCCAAATTTTCATCTGTAATTCACTTTAAAATGGCTGGCAAGCTTAAAAGTGAGTGTTTTGTTGTGCTGAGAAGAA